ATACATTTTAGAAAAGTGTAATCTATACTAAAAAGCTGTACACCACCTTCTATATAGATACATATTGGCAGCTTTTAACTCCGCAAGTCACACACCAATACTTAATTATACCGGTTTCACAGGTATTTTCAAGTGGTCGAGTCTTCAGCGGGAGGGGGGGACAAGCTGAAAAGTAACAAAAGTAACACCCACCACAGCATTTCGTTGATCTAACTAACAAGGATGGGACATTAGCTAGCCAATATGATAAAGGAATAACTTTTTATTTCTTTAGCACCTTTATTTGAACATTTCCATCGATTGTACAAGCACTGAAAAACTGTTCAATCCCTAGTTCGTCAGGCATTTTCTTTTACTATAACAGATAAAAAAACTCCCTTGCTTTTAACAGAGCGTTTAATAATTTCTAACAACGAAAATTATTTAAACTGCGACACTTTTATCATTCAACGAGAAAATATCACAAGGATCCTCGAGATCAACAAAGACAACAGAAAAAGATATGTGTATAAGATACTTATACCATGGGATATAGGTTTTTTATCTATGCTACAGTAAGTAGTCTTTAATATTGCTTCATTACACAGTGAAGTCAAAATTCCGGGATGTGCCTATGTACGCTGGGCAAACGTTCCAAAGGTAAAATTCTTCCAGCACGGGGGTACCTTTAAAGTGGAGGAGACGGCACAGAAATTTTTTGGCATGCATAAAAAACAGCAATTCTGTCAGTAAGCCCTAAATGAATTAATAGCAAACATGGTTTACATGAAATACATTTTTCCAAGAAAGTTTAGCCTTTCTCACTAATGAAACCGCTAAATAAAGACATAAATATAGAAATCTTAAGATTTTTAAAATACATGACTTTGCTAAAATTTATTTAAAAATAAAAATGATTACAAATGCCAGTGGAGAGTGCTTACTTTGTCAGCACTCAGACAAAAATACAATGCTTTTATTCATTCTTAATCAGATGGTGAGAGTAAAGGGGGAGCGATAAGGTTGAAGTTGAGGAAAAAGAAGTGAAAGAGGGGGAAGCTTAATGGACTAGAACAGGGGAGGTATGTGGTTTTGCATAAGGAGCGGGGCTATGGAAATGAGGTCTATTTGGGAATGTGGAGTTACATGTTCTGGCTGTTTGTGAATTATCGTTGTTGAGTATGGAGTGTTGAGGTATTGAATTTGTGTAATGCTTTATGTTGAAAATTGAGATGGATTTTGTTAATGATAAAAAGAATAAACTGGGATGGGAGGAGGGTTTGGTTTTGCATAAGGGTCGGGATTATGATAATTGGAGGAATTTGAGAGAGTTTGCGGGCTGTTTTTGGTTTGTATTTTGAATAATTCGTACAAGATATTGAGATTTGTTGATAACTGGAGGACGGTTTTGCTTTAATGGTTTGATATATTTCATTTTGTATTGTGGTTGGTATTTATGTTTTTAGATGGTATTATGTTTATATGGTTGTTTTTGTTGGTTGGTCGTTATTATGGTTATTATATTTATTGTGTCATTTTTGATTATTGGATGTAATAATCAAAAGAGAGAGAGAGAGAGACAGAGACACAGCACTTTCTTTTTTTACTTTTGTAGCCAAAGGGCCTTGGAGATCAGATTCCCTTCCCCCTACGGAAAGACAGACACATGCTTTCACAGTTTAGAAGTCGCTATTCAGACGCAGGCGAGCAGCCCCTAGATAAAACATCAACTTTATTTAAACTCCAACGAAAGTATTAATGTTTTTTTATTACCGTACTCTTATGGAACATGCCACCAACCATCTGCATTGAACGATTAAAAATAAAAACGATTACGATTGGCACTCCTGTAGCTTTTTCACAAAACTTCCAACAGAGCTGTTCAACCGGTTTTTATCGGGCACCTCTTATGTCAGGCGTAAGCGATAAATATACGGTATTTAGTTTAAAAGCTGTACAACGCAAGACATTTCGTTACTCTAGGAGGTTTCGTGAAAAAGCACATTGTGCTGCTGTAATAGTTTATAAATGTCTAATCAGTATCAGCTTATTTATGGGTTGTAATTTTTAAAAAAAGTCCAAAACCGCACTCAAAATGCAATTTAGCGCTTTCTGGCAAGAGGAGACCCCCAAATTAATAATGAAACATGCTACTGTTTGTGCATGAACATAGTTACTGTATACTGTTATTTCTTTAGATACGCGATTCCATGTTATTTTTTAACCCCTGGCAGGACTGGGAGTCCATAAGAATCCAGTAATAGGTTTCATTGCGCTTTGACAGATCTTCTTTAAATCAATTTTTGATTTAAAGGTTGACAGTAAATGTTTATATTGTAACGCATACTGTACAGCCTCTGTTTCTCTATAAAAATCTAAAGGATCGTTTGCGCAGCCTAAGAGCGGGGCGAATGCACTACAATAGATTAGCATACTGTAGAGGAAAACAGTATAGGCATCGTTGATATGAGGACTTTTGAAACCAAATTTCCCAAATTTAATATGTGCTTTTCTATATTTATTGTCAATTGATTGTCCATAATATTGCTATTCTAAGCAAGGAGCGCTTCACCCTGTCTGCCGTGGGGAGAGTTGTCTTATTCCTTCCCTGCCTCACCGAGAGCAGACCCTTGCCAGGCCCTCGTTGACAAAGGTTCGACCATCACCCTGCTGCGGCCTGGTGTCCTGCCGGGCACCGAGGCAGCCGGACCCCCAGGGCGCTCACCGTGCACTTTGGGGCTGCGAGGGTGAAACACCCCTTCTACCTTGCTCCAGTCCGTGAGGACCGTATCCTAGGGTTGGACTGGTTGCAGCAGGTGGGTGGTTGCCTTGACTTGTGGTTGCGGTTGCTCTGTGGGGCAGTTCTCCAAGCGGTGCACGGCCAGCCGAATGCTGCCAAGCAGTGACCTCGCCGCTGGAGGGCACCTGCCACCCTCGGCGCAGCACCCCGTCCCTCACCTCCAAGGCCTCCCACAGTGCACTGAGTGCCTTAAAGACTCCGGGTAGGGGCAAGCTTATCTCACCATACTGAGAGTCAGCTCTGGCACGCTCGCCCGACACCTGTGGCTCCGGCAGGCCCAGGCGACACCCACCGCTGCCACCTCTGCTTCCCGCTCCGCTCATCCAACACACCCCGGACACCTCCCGCCCCGTCCACCACGAAACTGATTCATTCCCCCTGCCTCACCAACTCTCGCCGGCCCAAGTCAAGGCAACCACCCACCTGCTGCAACCAGTCCAACCCTAGGATATGGTCCTCATGGACTGGGGCAAGGTAGAAGGGGTGTTTCACCCTCACAGCCCCAAAGTGCATGGTGAGCGCCCTGGGGGTCCGGCTACCTTGGTGCCCGGTAGGATACCAGGCCGCAGCAGGGTGATGGTCGAACCGGTGTCGACGAGGGCCTGGCAGGGTCTGCCCTCTATGAGGCAGGGAAGAAATAAGCCCCGGCTCTGGCCAACCCTTCCCACGGCAGCAGGTGGGGTGAAGCGCTCCTTCTGGCTTTCCGGAGTGGGGGTAGTGTCTCTCAAGGGCGGCCTTCCCCTCTTTAGGCCACCCCGCTCCCGTTTCACGACGGCCTCTGGAGTCCCCGGGGCTCCAGCGCCCGGTACTCCCGTGCGATGTGTCCCCTCTCCCTACAGCGGTGGCAGATGACCAGCAGTCATCGCCACGCTGGGCGTCTCCTCCTCCCAATCTGATTCCCCATGCACCCCTCCGTTGGTGCCCACTGGTCTCCTCGAATACGGCATCAGCCTGCTCAGCCAGAGCCAGGGCCTGCTCCAAGAGGACGCAGTGAATAGCGACTAATAAGTCTGTCTTTCTGTGGGGGGAAGGTAATCTGATCTGATCTGCAAACCTCCAACAGAGCTGTTCAACCGTTTTTTGTCGGGCACCTCAAGTGTCAGGTGTAAGCGATAAATATATTTAGCTGAAAAGCTGTACAACGCAAGACATTTCGTTACTCTAGGTTTTGTGAAAAAGCACATTGTGCTGCTGTAATACAGTTTAAAATAATTAAAAGTCTAAACAGTATCAACTTATGTATGGGTTGTAATTTAAAAAAAGTCAAGAACCGCACTCAAAATGCAATTTAGCGCTTTCTGGCAAGAGGAGACACCCAAATTAATAATGTAACATGCTACTGTTTGTGCATGAACATAGTTACTGTATACTGTTATTTCTTTAGATACGCGATTCCATGTTTTTCTTTAATCCCTGGCGGGACCGGGCATCCATAAGAATCAAGTTATAGGTTTCATTGCGCTTTGACAGAAACCAAATTATATCGTTATTAATTTCTTTAGATACGCGATTCCACATTATATTCCCTATTAATCAAATTCTAAAAGTATGCTTGATGACTCCGGTATCAAGCTTATTCATAGAAAAGCTTAAAACTGCCACTTTTTGTGCACTTTATTTCACGTTAGTTAAAGACTGCGATGCTTAAAATGTTTAGGGAGAAATGGAATACTGGTGTGTATTGTATATTGTAAGTCTAGGCCAGGCTAGAATTTAATTGAGTAAATAATTCCATATCATGTATAACTTTAAAGGACCGGCTCCCCATTAAGGGTGTACCTTGTGTCTGTTGCTTTCCAGAATAGACTCTGGCTCCCCTGCAACCCTGAATTGGAAGAAGCATTTAGAAATTGGGTTGATGGATGGGTGGATGATGAAGTCAGTGGTGTGCAAATACTTTGCCTGATTAAAATGTAAAAGGGGAGTTTAAAATAAAATATATTCACTATGTGAAAGTGATCCTGTGGTGACAGCATTATTCATTTACCCAATTAAATCAATTAGTAATGTACATTAATTTAGTATTTTGGAAATTAAAATTATACCCAGTGTAAAGTGGTGTTCAGATGGTGAATTTCGTACTATAAATGACTAGGATTATGGTTTACTTTCAGAGATGAAAAGTGTGCACAATTTTAGAAGGCATATTTTCTGTGTAGTGGGTATTGCAATCCTGTCCCTTAAACTATAATGACCCATTGTTTTGTTGATGTTTCTGCAGAATAATACAGTGTGGAAGCCTGATTCTTGCCAAGACTGCAGCTGTCTCAATGATATTGTGATTTGCAAGATGACTCGCTGCCAAAATCCAGAGTGCGATTTTCTGAAGGTAATATGTTGTATTGCAACTACAATTATCTGAATTTAATTTCTTCCTCCCTACCAACCAGAATATTTGACTCTCCAGGCAACATGTACTAATTTTGTCAATTGTTGGATCGAATAAGTAATGTAATAATTGAACTGTATTACCATGTTAAATATTATACTTAAAAACAGTTTGAAACATAATGCATAATCATTACCTTTTGTCTTCTACTCCACTGACGTACTGATGCAACCACTGAGATTGAGCATTAAAACTTATTTCCACAGTAAGATAACTTCTCTGTGCTGCAGTGTAATTCTTTACACTGCCCAAAGAATCTTCACTGGCTAAAGAAGATTGATTAGTTAGTGAAAACAATGGAAAGGTTCGGTAAAATAAAATTAGGTTTCTGAACATCGTTAGCAATATTTATTAATGGAAATAAATATATTTATGTTGCTGGTAGTAGTAGCATATTCTTCATTTTCATAAACATCTGCATTCTTTAACTCGGTCACTTGTGGTTATTTTGGAAACATTTTGACATGTTTGTTTTAATTAAATTTTTTGCTCTTGTGATTCTTTTAGTGTAAAATGAAGTACATGTAGTTTAACTTGTTCAAACCGAGTGATGCTTTGGCTTAGTGGTAGATTTGTGACCTGCCAGCTAGAAGGCCCTGGGTTAGATTCATGCCCAGTGCACCTGTTATACATTTAACAAATTTAGACTCTTTCTCTAATTGTAAAAAATAAGAAATAATATGTATATTATATTGACATTTCTAGCATTTTATGTCACAGTATGTTAAATGCAAAAATAATATTAATATTAAAAAATAACATTAATGAGTTAGCAACATGTGAATACTGTCACTGTCTACCAGTCAAGACCAACAAGGCTGCTCTCTATGTTGTTTGGAGAGAGTAAAAGAATGCAACGATGCCCTTTAACAGAAATCACAATTGAGATTTTAATGTGCATTTTTGGTTTTAAATACTAATCCTTAAAGCCTGTATGTATAAAATATTTTTATAATTAAAACTTAAAATATGAAAGCGGTATTAATTAGACAAATCAAAAACATTTAAGATGAGTGATGTTTGGAAACAATGTGTTCACATCTTTCTCCTCCCCCTTCTTCCCCCTATGTTGATGACAACAGTTGGACCCCATGCTGAGTGAGAAGTGTGGAAAATGGATAAGGGGTACAATTAATGAAATGTGCAAAACGAGGGATTTGATATAATGAGAAATTCAGTGTATATTCTTAAGCATGAATATACATTTGCTGGTCTACTGAGAGGCATTTATTAATTTTGAAAATAATTTTAATTTTAAAGGGAACAGGAAGTGTATGCCTTACCAAGCAAAACAATGTATTTTTTAATTAGATGTGTGAGCCAAATACAATACCATGTAAACTATGTTTTTGACTCTCTACACATTAAGTTTCTATTTACGATGTGATAGATTAATTTTTTAGATCAAGTTAATTAATATTAAAATGATTAAGGGAGGTTACAGAGTTAAAGAAATCCATGAAATAACATTTGCAGTTTTCCATTGATCAAATATTACAGCTGTTCTTGCAGACTATCATCATCTAGATGCAATTATTTACACTTAATATTTTCCTTACCGTACAGTATCTAATAGTTTGATGCCTGCTAGGTTGTACAGGTTAACATCAGTTGGTGGGGAGCCAGGAACTAACTGATTGCTCACAGATGCTGTATTATCTTCAGAATGCCAATTCCTCCAAAACCCACTGGGCAACTTACTGGTGTCTATATCACAAGTCCCTATGCTGTTTGGCTGTGGTAACTTCTAAGTGGGTCCTGCCCAGTGCTAGTGATTTGCTAGTTGTCTGTTGTCACAAGCGCATGTGCAGAAGGAATAACCCCCATTTTTAAAAGTTTATTCAAAAAAGCATAGGAGAGTTTCATAGGAATATTAAGAGGTCAGGAGTATTGCATGTTGTTTGCAGAGATCTAACTACAGAACCAGTTTATGCTACTCCAGACTTTCAGTACAGGATAAAATGAGAAGTATGTTTTTTTGTTTCTTACACTACTGTTACTTATTATTAAAGAGGGGCAACTACAGAAAAACAATGTATTTAAAAAAAAATGATTATAATCTGAATAAACACGTAAAAACCACAGTTGTAATTTCTGTTTAAGGGCATCTTTAAGTTACCTTACTGTCAGGTGGTCAAAAGACTGGTATAAATAGTTTTAGTTCAATTCCTGGGGTGCTATCTGTGTAAAAATTGCATGTTCTCTATGTGTATGTGTTGGTTTCCTCCATGTACTCCCACAGCTCAAAGACATACAGGTAGGCTTCTAGGTAAATTGGTGTGAGTGTCTGTGTGCCCTGACTGTCATGAGTTTACCCCACCTTAATAATAATAATTAATTACTTACACTTATATAGCACTTTTCTGGACACTCCACTCAAAGTGCCTTACAGGTAATGGGGACTCCCCTCCACCACCACCAATGGCACTTGGCCTTGGCACTCATTGCTTGTGGGAGGGTGGAGTGGGAGGCTTGGCAGCACGATTGAAAGGATGATTAATTCCGTGTGAAACACTATGTAATAATTTCTGAAATTTAAGGAGAGAAATCCAGATTTGTAATTAAAAGATGATATACAGATGCAGCCAATCAAAACAAGTAGGGTACGCTGCAGTATAACGCGGTGGGGGTGTTGCATCAAAATGCGGTATAACCCGGTAGGACGTGATATAACGCGTCATTTCGTGTCATACCGGAAATTGCCATATGTAAATTAGATTATGTTAATAGTATCTGGAATCACCTTGTAAAACCGCCAGGAGGAACTAATAAAGCTTAACCTCTCATGTACAGCATTTGAGCTTTTAAATTTAAACTTTGTATTACCGCATGTTAATCATAATTCATTAAAAAGTTGGTATATTTTATGAAAGCAAGATTGCTCAGTTGGGCAAAAGTACACAGCCTACCTTTATCATAAATATTTTAATTATGCGGAAATGTCTTATGCATCAAAGTCTTTACCGAAGATCTTACTAAAAGTATTAATAATGAATGACCCTGGACAAGCTGTAATCTCAAAGTATTATAATTATAATAATAATTGCTTACACTTATATAGCGCTTTTCTAGACACTCCACTCAAAGCGCTTTACAGGTAATGTGGACTCCCCTCCACCACCACCAATGTGCAGCATCCACCTGGATGATTACCCAGGTCCACATTCTTTGTAACCGTCTTTGTAAACGAAAATACTTTATTTTTTTATTGACAAAAAGTAACACCATAGCATTTTGTTGATCCGATCACGCATTTGTTTCCAATCATACAAGCTAAGTAAAAGCCACAAGTAACTAACTAACAAGGACAGGACATTAGCTAGCCAATATGATAAAGGCATAAATGACTTTTTTTGTTTATTTCTTTAGCACATTTATTTGAATGTTTCCAATCCCTAGTAAAATTGTCCAATCCCTAGTTCGTCAGGCATTTTATTTTTCGCTGTGGGAGCGCTCCTACAGGTCCTGGTCTCAGTGCCTTCTAGGATATAACGCCAGCGATTTGTTGTTAAAATTGGGTTTCATATAACGCCGCAGCGAACTCTCGTTTTTATGTCACTATAACAGACAATCTCCCTGGCTTTTAACCGAGCGTTTCATAATTTCTAAGAATGAAAATGAATTAACTATGCGACACTTATTATTCAACAAGAACTCAAAATATCACAAGGATCCTCAAGAGCGCAACAAAGACAGCAGAAAAAGATATCGGATACATGAGAATCCAAGCTTTTTTATCTACGCTAAGAAGTAGTCTTTAAAATTTCTATACAACACAGTGAAGTCACAATTCCGGGGTGTGCGTATTAGAGAATATAGCACGGCTTCGAATGTTTCAGAAAAATCTGATTGGCTGACACATGTAAGAATTTGATGCTTAAAATGTTTAGGGAGAAAGTGGAATACTGGTGTGTATTTTTTGTTTAAAATACCCATACCAGCCATATACAGTTTGTAACGTAGGGATTTCTATATTTATGTCTTTATTTAGTGGTTACATTAGTGACAAAGCCTAATCTTTTAGCTTCAGTAACGCGTATGCCGTGTGGCAGACATGTTTGCTTTGGGTTTTGCTTATTCACATATCTCCCCTTTTTATAAAATGAGATGGTTGAAAACTGTTGTTTCATCAGTGAAAAGTACATCATGAAATGCCTCTCCCTGTTCAATCCATTGGAAAAAAGAAAAGAAGCATAAAGCGTCTGATGGTCATAAACTATATTAATTTAGGAACAGCATCAGAGATATGTTTTTAACTGCACTGCATCGGAAAGAATACCATAGCAAGTTTTTTTTTTACTCCCTCGTGGAAACGGGCTTCCATAAGAATCAGTATAGCTTCTGGGAAATACATTTTTCCTGCATTTAAGTTTAACTTGTTCAGAGCACCCTACATTACAAACTCCAAGCATTTCATTTTGAGCTGAAGATCCTCACACCTGAAGAAGGATTCACAGCCGAAACGTTGCAGGCTGACGCGACTACCCACCAAAGTAAATGTATTGCATTAAATGTTTAAATTATTACATCTAGTTTTTTATTTCTTTTTTTTCAATTAAAAAAATCCTTTGCCCAGCCTAAGAGGGGGGGTCGGCTCTCAATGACAGCTGACCTCCATACACTCAAGTGAAAAATTAATAATGCCAGTGTAAACGTCGTATTTATAATTTGTTGATAATAAAAATGTTAAGTTCTCTAAAGCTTTCTCAGTCAAGTATGATAATTTACCTAGGGAGCTGTGTAAGCATGCGTAGGCAGCAAAAGATCGGCTAAACTGAGAAGAAAACGCTTTCAGAGAAAATGTTTCAGGTGTGAAGAACACAGATCCCCAATGCAATTTCAACCAAACCTGTCCCCACACCACACACCCTGCCCCCACTGCGATTAGAATATACACAAAGCAATGAAATCTTTAAAGTAGATGGTCAGGTGTTTTGCAA